AGAGAGAGAGAGAGAGAGAGAGAGAGAGAGAGCAAGAAGAGAGTAAACAGAGAGTCGTCGGAATGAGCGTGGGACGAAAAAAAACTTATTTGTTCACTATATAACTCACTCTCTTTCCATTTTCCCAATAAATGGGATGTTTATTTCTAAAAGGATATAATTTTATATTAGTAAAAGTTTAAACCGACAAAGTTGTTGTGGACAAACATTAATCCGGATACCGAGCCTTTAAATTTAGCTATCCAATCACCTCCCAAACATTTTATTAATTTGACGAGATATTATTAAGTCCGAAGTTTGAAACTCCCTCTCCCGTTGATTTAAAATATATATTTAATTTAAGTATTACATTAAAATAAAATTATTAATAGGAATGTACCCTTTACTTATACACTTTTTTTATTTTTAAATTGCTTTAATTTTAATTGATGAATTTTGATCTAACAATTAGAATATGATATAAGAAACTTTGATATAACATTACTTAATTATTAAAATATATACATATATTTAGTAATATAAACAAATAAAACTTGTTGAGGAAGGAGGTCAATGATTCAATGCAGAGAGAGGGAAAGGTAACCTTGTTAAGGAAGGAGGAAAAAGTGAAAAGAAACAACAAAAATTAAAGAAGAAAACGAAACAAACATTATTGATATGAAAAGTTAACTTATCGAGGAAGTAGTATCAAGAAAGTGGAAATTGATAGAGAATAAGAAAGTGAAGGGAAACATGTAGTGGTAATAATACTAGTGGGATTTGTACGAAAAGGCAAGACTTTGCATGACCTTTGGACGCTGATTCGACCACTGTGAGTCATCCAGTCTTCTTTTTTTTTTTTTTTTTTTTTTTTTTTTTTGGTTTTTAGTACAAGCTATGGGGGGAATTGCCCCAAAAAAAAACAGACTATGGGGGAAGGGGGTTAACACAACATTCTTTGGGTGCAGAGGGTTTTGAACTTTTGGCCAGTTGGTAGGAGCCCCTGAGCTATGCCCCACTTGCAGTTTTTTTTTTTTTTAATTCTATTTTGAGACACCGATCACTACATTAGAGCACTTCCACCGTGCAGTCCTTGTCAGGGTAGGAGGGGCCCCAAGCTCCATTTCATGGTTCCAGCGGGCTTAAGCTACCTGTGCAGCTCGTGGGCTCCACAAGCCTGGGTAGGCCCGAAAGTAAGAATAGCCTGGGTTTTTGACTGGTTTGTTGACGTCAGTGATGATGTTAGCAATGGAAAAAAATTATAAAAAATGTTGACGCTAAATCTGAACAGATAGAGATGAGTGCAACTTACAAGAGATGTGGACGATCTAGGAGATCGATTGAGTGGTAAATGGAGATTCCTCCTGTCTTCAGATGCTGATCCTGATCCTGAATAGAAGATAAGCGAAGCTCGTGAGGTCTATGGAACCGGTGTGGAACCAGCCTAAGACCCTCCGATGCTCAAGTAAGATTGTTTTTAAGAGCTCTTGCTGTTGACCATATAGAAGTATAAAAGTCAAGCTGAAAAGTCTTACCCCTGTATTGTAGTGGAATGGGCCTATTTATAGAGGGCATTTAGTATGCTCTTAGTGCTCGTTTTCGATGTGGGATTCGTGGGAAGGCCTTCTGAGGTCGACACGAGTCCTTAGATATTTTGGGCGGGTATTTCGAGGTTGATTCTCTACAATCGGTAAGGGATGCCGATTGTAGACGAGTTGGGCGCGTAATGGCTGTTCGCATCTTTGAGACAATGCCATCGGTGGCCGATGCCGATTGTCTGAGGCCTTGGGTACTTGGGCGAGTTTATGAGATCCACGTGTCGTTGTACGAGTGGAGTGTCAGATATGGTACAAACAAAAAATCTAAAAAATTACTAGAATTTTCAGAATTTTTTTTAATAAATACTTAGTCATATTCTTCACTTCCTACACCAAAACTCTATACAAATTCCTCTCTTCATATCTCATGTGAATAGTGGTTGCTATGGCAATAGGTGGAAATACCACAAGCCTTTTCCAAGGGCTGCTACTATTCACATAAATAGTAACAGCCCTTGCCTTGCCCTTTCCCTTTTCCATGACAAATGGGGGGAAGTGCTCCTATGGGGGAGGGGGAGGCGCTGAAGGGCTCAATCACACTTCATGGTTTCCAACTGTTGAAGATTGGCTCACCGTTGATGTTAGGAAGTAAAGGAAGCAGCAATCCAGATTTTGCGCATGGGTCCTACTTGCTGTGTGTTTTTAGCCTATTTCTTTTAGGGTTTTGTTTCCTACTTCTAGTCTAATTGTAACTCAAGTCCTATAAGCTATAAATAGGAATTTTGCATCTCATAGAGAGCAATAATGTAGAATACAAGAGGGTATAGGGGCTAAGGGGTTGTTTTTTTTTTTTTTTTGTAAACTTTGTTCATATTCTTCTACTCTAAGGATCACCGAAGAGGACTTAAGCATGTTGTCAAACCTCTATAAATTCTTATGTTCTAGGTTGATTTGTTTGTTTTTATACTGTTTAATTTTTCAGTTTTGTAGAAAGAGAATTTTAGTAATCAAAATAGTTTTCATTATGATAATGTAAACAATTTAATGGGTATGTCTGGGAGTGACTCGGATTCATGTTAACTCGATTCCCTGATCACTCTTATCCATGCTCACTCCGATTACGAATTAGTAAACATGCAATATTAGTTTTTATTTCTTTTGATTTAAATTAGGGTATAAATGGAAGTTGAAAGAGGAAAGGTAACGTTTCTCAGCCAAGGAAGAAAAAGTGAAAAGAAACACCAAAAGCAAAAGAAGAAAAACAAACAAACATTATCAAAATGAAAGGTAAAGCTTCTCAGGGAAGTTAGCGTGGCGAATGTGAGGGAACCATGTAGTGGCGAATGTTGATGGGATTCGTACGAAAAGCAAGACTTTGCATGAGCTGCTTTCCATTCTTTATATCTATAGCCACGCACCGTCCACAAACGAAGTTACAAAATCACCTAGTTTGAAATTTGAGGTAAAAAAATGGGAGCTAATGAAAGCAGGGAAGGCTCTTGGAGCATCAAGGACGTGTCCAATGGTGTAATTGCAGCTGCCGCTGTGGCAGGAATGGCTCTGCTGGCCTATGGTTTATATGGACTTGTTTCAGCTTCAGAGCAGAGGAGGAAGACGATGAAAGCTCCGGGCAGAGGTGACCAAATCTTAAGGGATGATTTTCAGGCTAACCCAAAAGCTTATTTCAGAGACCTCCGCCGCAAATAGAGAGCCAGTCCCAGTGGGATGGGAGGATATTGTAGCACTTGCAACTCAGAGTTACTGCCTTTATTATATGAATAAATAAACTCTTGTAGCAGTCTCTATTCTATTATTCTATCTATTTCTATTATGCATAATGGGTCCTTGTTGGATTGAGTTCTAAGTTCAAATCGCATGGACGATAACTTGTTGATTAATATAAAAAATAAAAAATAAAAAACAACAGTCGAGCTTGGATCATCGAATCAACCTAAAAATACTGTAGGATTCAAAAATGCGACATATTCTAACATTAGGAAGAGAAATATAACCACACCAAAAGCTAGTTAAGCATGTGACTTCTTGATTGAATAACTGATCCTTCCACTCCCCAAAACGATGATCATTATGAGTATGCAATATTCATAATGAATACAATCAGCCATGATGTGCCACAACAAAGGCCTCTTGTGAAAATAGAATTCAACAAATCTGACATATTATTAGCAATCTAGCAGCTGATTTAAATTACAAACCAAGAACCTGTCCAGAATCACAAGAGAATCCCATTGACAAAAGCACACAACTCACACAAATAAAGTTCACAACACATACTACAGACTGATAATACAAACAAATTATATATATATATATATATCTAATACAAAGATACGGCAGCAAATAAAGAACGTAAACCAAAAATTACCGCAAATGTTTCATACCATGCCTAGGTGGAAGAAGGGAAGGCAGAATTTAGTAACTCTTCATCCTCAATGAAGATTTGCAAATTCTTGGACTTCATAAAAAAATCAACTGCTTCCTCATTAAATTCTAGCACAAAGGCCAACTTGATCAGCTCAGAAAGTGCAGGGATATGATCAGTGTGCTCCCACAAGACACCATCAGATATTACTTCAGAGAAATATGTGGCAAACTCAATGATACTTTTATGTCCCCCAGACCTGTCCATTTTCTGAGAGAAAAATTTCGACATCTCTCTGTCCCATCTTATCTTACGGCTTGCTCTCACTTTCAAAATCTCCCCAGAAGACAATGGTAAGTTATAGCTTACAGTGATCGGTTCAGTTGTCTCTACGACAGCGAGATTGAGAAGACCTTGGACTGCTTTTCGCCTCTTCCCTGCTTCCATTTCAATGGGAGAACAAGCTAGAAAACCAAGAATCAGCTTGAGCAGCGCTTTCCCGATCAATTTCTCCGTTGGAATTACCTGTTCATCAACACCATTTTCTAGGGACAGTTCTTCCTTCTGTACAGATTCAGAAATAGCTCGAACACCAATTTTCCTATACATTTCAAGCAATGTAGTCCGAGGCAAGTCAGGCAAGCTTGGCTGAGGGTACCAAACAAATAAGGGGTGAGTAGAAGACTTATCAAAAAGATCCTTAAGTTGAAGGTCATCAGGAAGGAAAACGTCGCACTTGTTTAACATCAAGATTTCATCTGAGCCTGAATTAACAGGTACTTTCACCAAGGCCTCAGAAAGAGCTTTCTCTGTTTTTGATTTCTTTAAAACATACTGCCAGAACTTGCAACATTGATCATGAGACAGTCCAGTTTCAGAACTTTCCCACACCTTCCAGAGCTTGCAGTAGTCATCAATTGACGGACGGGGCTTTACCTTGTGAGCACTGGAGAAGAACAAGAGTAGGTTACGCTCAAAGTATTTCTCCAGAACAGTCAACTGCAAGCCAAACAGCTCATCCTTGTCATATAAAACACACTCTTCTGGATTAACCCACTCTCCATTCTGATTTCCCTTTGGAATCCAGATCCTTTTGTCAGCCTTGCTATTCGGCTCCCACTTAAACTCACTCAAGTAACTATATACTCGAACAAAAGTGGACAATTCATCATGAAGAGCAAGCTGGCTGGCAATCAAAGGACATCCTTTGTCCACTTCAACAATCACCTTTATTGCAGAGAGCTCTTCTCTGTATGTTGTAATTTCAGAACCATAAAATTCTTCATCAATGAAAGGGCCATCAGTCTGCTTTAGATGCTCGCCAAACTTGGAATCAAACAACAAGCACTTGCTCGGAGGCCTGTAACCATCATGAGTCTTCAGCCATGCCTGAGAAACTTTCTTCGGGAACACATCAGGAAAGGAGTTATCTTTCTCCTGCAATAAAATATGTATGCAGTCCAGCAAAGCAAGTGCATTTTCTCGAGAAATGCTGCTCGGATTCTGGGGAAGATAAAGACAAGAAGGCACAAACTTGACCCCATCCTTGAATTGCACAACAACCCCCAAGCTCTTCAGCTCTTGCTTATATTCATGAATGTTCTTGCCATAACAAGTGTCAGAATCGTCAATAAAAGGGAGAAGGCATATGGGAGAGAGAGATTCCCAATCAGAACAAAACAGAATGCACTCTCTTGGAGATCTATAATCACCAAGGCGAGTACGCAGCCACTTTTTTTCGCAAATGCAGCTCTTAAGCTCTGCAGGAAATTTAAAACGACTTCCCTCCAGCTTTCTGTAACAGGACAGAAATGATTCTACATTTTCTTTGGTGATGGAAGCCTGCTGGAAATGGTGAGCAAATACTTTTGCAGCCTCTTCAAAATCAACGACCACCCCTATATTTCTCAACTCATCTCTGAAGGAAAAGATTATGTCTCCATACAAATTATGATCAATCAATGGGACACCACTAAAGACCTGAAGAAGGCAACCCCATTCTGGGTGAAACAAGAGACATTCACTTGGAGACTTGTAACCATTATTTGTCTTCAGGCATTTTTTTCCTCTCAGTGCTTCGACAATCTTATTGGATGAATTTGAAATGTGCATAATTTGCAGCATTAGTAGAACAGCCTCAGGTGTCAGAGAAGTTAAGCATGACGGTGACTTTAGGTGGTCGACAACAAGCTGGTAATTTTTGTTGAACGAGACAACCACACCAAGCAACTCAAGTTCTGTTTTGAAATCAAGGATTTCTTCACCGTATACCTCCTGATCAATGAAGGGAATGTCACTAATTTTGGATGCAATTATCCACTCTTGGTCAAACAAGACAGATCCATCTGGAGACCTGTAACCATGAGATTTTGTTTTAAGCCATGGTCCGCTTTTGATACTGCTGATGAAATCGTCTGGGGGAAGACATTTGTCCCTCAAGAGCCTGATAAAATGTAGTATTGAAAGTACGTTGCCTCTAGTTAAAGTGGACGAAGCTGCCAGAGACATAAGATGCTTCCCAATAAACTCACATGCTTCTCCAAATTCAAACATTACTCCAATTGTTTTCAGCTCCTCCTTGTAATCATCAATTCTATCACCATAATAACTCTTGTCAACCAATGGGATATCAACAAAAACGGATCCAGTCTGCAAAATGTTTCCCCATGATGGGGCAAGTACAAATGACTCCGAAGGTGGCCTGGACACAGAAAATCCATTCAAAGTAACTTTCAACCAACTACCTTCCTTTATACATTTCAAGAACTTCTCCGGGATGTGAACCCTTTGATATCTCAGGTGGCGAATCCAGTCCAAAAGCAAGAATACCTTTTGTATACTAAGTGTTGCAGATACAGTTGGAAGACAGGCATTGGGAGCAGAAATATAAGGGACATCCGAAGCTCCAGCATACTCTTTGAGGAACTCAAGGAGCTGCTTCTGTTCTGTAATTTGACCTGCAAAGCAGCCTGGATTCATGTAATCTTCTCCTAACTGAACAAAGCCATCTTCTTTCCACAGATTCGAATCAGTAAACCCCGCCCATTTGCTTTCGTTGGCAGGGACAATAACTCCTTCCCTTTGTCTGATGACGTCCCCATAGTTATCCACAAGTGGCATCTTACCACACAAATCAACGACTTCAGGATAAGAGATATAGCTCCTTGTGCGGCATGAATGATACAAAAAGTGGGCATATGCAATAGCAGGTTTCCGTTCAATACCATGAGACTTATAGAGGCAAACTGCATATTCATGTACATTTACAGCTGCAACCTTCATTTGTTCCGCAAGCCATTTCACCAACTTGTCCTTGTTAGAACATAACTGGATAGCTTCCTGGGTCCCTTTCGGCATAAAAAGAAGACTTGCCGAAGATATAAATTCCCTGTTCCAGTCAATCAGCCATGAAACATGACAAGAATGGCGGGATAGGCAAACGTTCTTTTTACCAGTCTGCATTGAGCTCAAGCTGCACAAAGATACATCCTCATAAAGATCCACATATTTTATCAGTGGTATGTTCTTGATGTTGGTGCAATGAAATTTGGGCCGCCAATTATCAGCAATAAACAGTAGAAGTTCCAAGTAGACATCTTCTGACACTCCAACTACCAGATTGGAACTCTGAATGCATTTAGCATACCATTCATCATCCACTGGTTCAACTCCAAGGAAACTCAAAATGTGATCATACTCTTCTTGGTCAAATGAATGACACAAAACATATTTTCCATGGGAAGAGAGATTCGGCAAGCTTACCCCTACTTCCCTTGCCTTTCTCAAAATATTCCAAAAAGGAGGCAATAACCTACCCACTTCACAAGGTTTATGGAAGAACTTCTGCTCCTTGTGCGGCTCACATGGTACAATGTCTTTCTCAACCAGCTGTGCTTTGATTGACTCCCTCACAACATTCAATTCATCATATTGAGAGCTCTGGACAGGCAAGAACCTGAAAAAAAGAGGCAAACTAGATACTGGTGCGTCTTCTATAGTTTTCACGAGAGAGAGAAATGCATTAATAAATGCAGAGGGCACACAGTTCAGAATTCCTTGATTCCACTTCTTGTCCAATAGAATATTTTCTCTTGATGATGCTAAAAGAAAATCTGCCTGAATTATGAAGGGCAAATTTGTAAACATTTCAGTGGGAAGGAATGCATAGACCCCGGGTGAGCTTGTTCCTCTATTAAGGCGTTCTCCATATGGAAATGCTAGCGTGATCACCCACTCATCTACCTCCATTCTCTTCTCATCTCTGCATTCTTGCTTGACAGGAAACTTCTGCTTCCACATATAATAGATGCATTCGGGTTCCGACTCATTACCATTTTCTTTTGCAGAGAGATGGAGCGTGTAGGAATCAGCATCAATGTTCTTCCGCGTCACAAAATCAGTCTCACTTGATATTGATATCGCGGTTACAGTGTTGAGCCTGGGATCCTCATTATCTTCCCTAACCGAGAGACGCTTAATCTTTGCAAGAAACAAGAGAACTTCAGGATGCATGCTTGAGAGCTGCTGCTTCACAGGTTTGACCTTGTCAGGCTTTAGAGGCAAGATCAGTGTTGTGGTTGGAAGGGCAGAACCAGAACCATATATCTCTGTTATGTCAGATAGAGTCGGGCTTTCCTCAACCCATTCTGGAACTATGTACCCAAGATCGCAATGCATACAAGGCTCTTCATTGAACCTTATTTGATAACCATTACTAAAAATGTAAGGCCGAGCTGTGATCAGAAACACGCTCTTGAAACCAATTCCTGTAGATAAAAGATTCAAACTTTACTCCCTTATAACTCACATCATTGCTTCAAATAGAACACCTATATATCTTTCACCTAAGAATAATAGTTGACCTTTTAAATGGAAAACTGTCTTAACCCTCTTAATTAAAAGATCCAGACAATTATGGGTATTTCATAATCATATGCACTTGTGAGGTGAGTTTAACAGATTTCTTAATCTACTAATCACGAAATTATTGTGCATCTCTCCAGTCATGGGAAATGTAAACCAATGGATTTATTGTCTGATCTCTATGTCAAGATTGGTAGGTAATACAAGCTTTCCTTATGACCAATATTCTTGGAGAAGCTATATAACATATGCCTGTTTCTGGAGTCAAAATAAAGCTTAACCAAGCATGCTGAAAAGGTAGATTTTGAGTAAAGTCACCAAATTTTGTGAAGCTCCATACATTTTTGGAAGGCCTAAAGCTAAAAAAATCAGCAGTGACATTAACTATTGACACACTAGATCATAAGGTACTGATGTACACATACCTTTCTCCCCAATATAGCCCTGATTCCGGTTGCCTTTCTTTGTCGACCGTCCAATACCGCAAATAGACTCTATGTTTGTGGGAGAAAATCCCTTCTCATTATTGAAAACAAGCAAGGTGGCAGGAGCCCCTGTGCCGGTTATATCCCGGGACGTTATGACAAACTCAAGTGATGGATCAACCCCCTCTGAGTACTGATTATCTTCTGCATTCTGTAAAGTAAATTTAACCATTATTTGTTGTTTGAATCAACTTGAATTAACCATATAAGAAACAAAACTACGATTGGCAACTGTATATAGTTGCTTTTAATCAAGGATATCACCCAATGATATGGATTACGATTCACATACAAATACAGTACTATCACATAACTCTAGTAACTTGAATCAATCAAAACACTGAGAAATTGAATACCATCTTAATCAATGTAACCTTTTAAAAGTTCATCTTTATCAAATTAAAAGTTTAAAATTAACCCTTCAAATACATTCTCCAGCACACTAATACCGATATGCATGCGCATATAAACACACATATATTCCTTAATTTCTCTTAAAAAAGCATTTAGATTTCAAGTGAAGAAGGGGATGACCAAGTAATGAAACAGAAATCATGGAGATCAGAGTTCCATAACCTTGTTATGTACTGAACTTCAACACCAAACAAAACCCATCACGGAGATTTAGTATTTTTTCAGTGTAAGGTCTATACATGCATACATACGCACATATATATATATATATATATATATATATGTATGTATGTATGTATGTAGGAATGTGAATGCAAACCTGGATGAGTTCCATGAGAAAGTGGACATCTTTAGAATAGAGCTCAGCAGAGAGATGCTCGACAGCGTGGTGAAGATCTTCAGATAAAGGGTTGAGTTCCCCTCCAATGGAGAACTTTTTCATGCGTATTTCTTCTATGTGCTCTCTCGGTGTCGCCATTTTCCGTACGGACACAAACCCAAAGGCACAACCTTTACAGTGAAACAGAGAGCAAGCAGATAGTAAACAGAGAGTCAGAAATGAGGGAGGGATATTCTATAACTCACACTATCTTTCCATTTTCCCAAGAAATAGGATGTTTATATCTTCTTCTTCTTTTTTCATTGACTAGGGAGGGAGAGGATTGCCTCAAGATTGTCTCTTATGTAAATTGAACCAGGTGGTTTAGGGAGAGTTTGCCCCACTTTTCCACTCTTCCACCGGTGCCACCAGGATGTTTATATTGTTTAAATTTAATTGATGAATTTTGATTTTTAAAATATAAAAAGCTCCATATAACATTGCTTTACTTAATTATTAAAAAGGTATATAAGAGGATTAGTACTACATGAACACAAACTAAAATGACAAATAACACTAAACTAAGGTTACATGTTATGAAAATATGAAGAGATACTGGTGAGGAAAATGTGGAGGAGGCTTTCTTTTTTGCTTTAAATTCTATTTAATTACTATTATAGGTTTTATTAGTTTTGATTTCTTTTTTATTGGAAGTTTGTTAAAAATGTTCTCTTAAATAGTAGTATAATAAAAAAGATAAATTATATTTTATTTACCAATATAATAAATAAATAGAGCTCGTTTGGAAGTGATTTTGGATAGCTCAATAATCATTTCTATGAAGAATCACTTTAAATAGTTTAATTTTATGAGGAAGCCCTAAGACGTGTTGAGGAAGTAAATGACAATGCAAACAGCACAGAGGAAGGAACTTGTCAATTAAGGAATAAAAAAAGTGGAAAAGAGAAAAGAAAACAAACCAAACATTATTGAAATGAAAAGTAAGTAGTATATATATATATATATAGAGAGAGAGAGAGAGAGAGAGAGAGAGAGAGAGAGAGAGAAAATGACAAGGAAAAACATGTACGAAAAGCAACAGGTGTTAATGGGATTTGTACGAAAAGCAAGACTTTGGATGAGCTTTGGACGCTGATTCGACCATCTGAGTCCTTGTTTCGAATTTTTTAAGTCCTTGAGAATCTAACAAACACCTTTCGTCAACTTCGCATTTTTCATCCAAAGCCAAACGACAAAATGGAAAGACTTTTGCTTTCTGAGTCACTTCTTACGTACGCAGTCTACTTCAAACTAGTTTCAGAGTGAGTAACTTAGGGGTGGCATTTTATACCGAAAAACTGAAAAACTGCAAAAATCAACTGATAATTTACCACAATGAAACCGTAATCGCGGTAAACCAAATCGCATTTGCGGTATTTAGAACCGAACCGCATTTGCGGTTGCGGTTGCAGTATTTGATTTTCAAAACTTGCGGTTACCGCAAACCGCGAATATATTTTAAATAATATTGTCTATATTATATTATATATAACTTTAATTCATTTTGCATTGCATTTTCCTTTTGGTTTGTAACTTTAAAGAATTTGGAATTTGAATGCTTGAGAAGTTTAACTTTAATTGGAATGCTTGGAATTGAACTTTAATTTTCTTTAGGTTGTGAATGCTTGAGAAGATAATTTACCGCAATGAAATCGCAATCGCGGTAAATCAAATCGTATTTGCGGTATTTAGAACCGAACCGCATTTGCAGTTGCGGTTGCAGTATTTGATTTTCAAAACTTGCGGTTACCGCAAACCGCGAATATATTTTTATGCTTGAGAAGTTGGATTTTTATGACACAAAAAGAACTTGCGGTTTTAAACCGCTAATTCACGGTAACCGAAATGCGATCGGTTTGCAGTTTCAAAAATCACCATACCGCAAATAGTCAGTCGGTTTACAGTTTGGGCAAAAATTCACGGTTACCGAACCGTAACCAACCCAACAACGAAACATACATTTAGACCTTAATAAAAACAAAGGGACGACTAAATGGAAGGCTTACTTTTCTCCTCTCTTCTTAGACAGTCTCCTCCACTAGTTTCAGAAGAAGTGGGGTAATTTTCGTCCTTGCAACTTTATGTTCTTGTTTTCTTTCATTTTTTAGCCCAACTACCCATTTGAGAACAATAACACAAGTAACAATATTATTGGTGATGAATAGGACACAAGTCAGGACGTACCCAAGTACGTAGATGATCATGTTACTTGTGAAGGCAATATTGTTCATTTACTTACTGGTCAATGATCATTTAGTTTCGTGGCTTATAATTTCTTAATACAAGAGCGATAGTCTAAACTACAGTATATGAGGAGGAGATTTCTTGTAAGACATTTACTCGTCTTAAACCACTTGATATGGTCTTCTAATCACATGAGCTTCTTGTGATTAAGTGTGGTGAATTACATTATCTGTTTAATGAAGACTAATGATTTGCTTGGTTCACGTGACCTTCTAAAACATGATGAATCCCACTTGTTAAATTTATGCCTTAAATAGGATAGATTGTAGGATTGAGTATATGATAGAAAAGAATCTTCCACTTAAAGAAAACTATGATCGAAGTGCCTGAAAAGGATTTAGATACGGGAATTATAGTGTAATCCTGGGAGCAAAGTTGTAATCTAGTGGACTAAATTCTCAAATTCCCGTAGCAAATTTGCCCAACATATTGTGTTTTGTGCTTATGTTTTCTTTATTGAAGTACATCATGATTCAAATTGCATAACTGACAATTGTTGATTAATAAATAAATAATAACAGTTGGGTTTGGATATTATTGAATCAAATCGAAAATCAGTTTGCTTCGAGTATGATTTTGGATTATAATTTAGATAAAGTACGGATTAGTTTTGGATTCAAATTAAGTTTTTGTCGGCAACGAGACTTGAATGTGTTAAAGAAAGATATAAAATAAGAAAATGACAAGGAAAAACATGTACGAAAAGCAACCATGTATGTTAAATTAATGGGATTTGTACGAAAAGCAAGACTTTGGATGAGTTTTGGACGCTGATTCGACCATCTGAGTCCTTGTTATGAATCTTTTTTTTTTTAAAGTCTATGAGAATCTAACAAACACCTTTCATCAAATGGAAGACTTTTGCTTTCTAGTCTCTTCTTACGTACACAGCCTACTTCAAACTAGTCTCTTCTTGCATTTAGTAACCCTACAACCAAACATACATTTAGATATTAATAAAAACAAAGGGATGACTAATGGAAGGCTTACTTTTCTCCTCTATTCCTAGACAGTCTCCACTAGTTTCAGAAGAAGTGTGGGCAATTTTCGTCCTTACAACTTTATGTCATTGTTTCCTTACAGTATATGGGGAGGGGATTTCTTGTAAGACATTTACTTGTCTTAAACCATCTGATATATATGGTAATCACATGAGCTCCTTGTGATTATGTATAGTGAATTACATTATTGATTGACGAAGAATAATGATTTGCTTGGTTCACATGAGCTTCTAGAACATAATGAATCCAACTTGTTAAATTTATGCATTAACCAGGATAGATTGTAGGATTGGGTATATGATAGAAAAGAATCTAACACTTAAGGAAAACTATAGTCTAAGTGCCTGAAAAGGATTTAGATTCGGGAATTATAGCGTAATCCTGAGAGTAAACCTTACAAGAACGATTCTTACCAACTCAACCAACCCTCGACCTGCTAAATCCACTTTTGCTAATATATATCACAAAATTCACTATCAAATACATAGGAAGGGAGAGTAAGAATATTCAAGGATGTGAGGTAAACAGGGCCTTTGGAGAGGATGGTGGTGGTTCAAAGGAGCGTTGTGCCATTAGGGTTACCAATAACAGAGAACTAGGTTTGCCTTCATTTCCAATCCCTTGTACAATTCTAACTCGGTCAACTTTTACACAATTCCTTGCGTCCTTGCGTCCTTGCGTTTTCATACACTCCTTCATCTCTCGATCACCCACACAAATTGTAATATAATATCAAACAAAGTGAAAGTAAATTAAATATCTGTGCTTAAAGTAGGAAATTAAGGTAAACGCATGCTAGAAAACCAGGGAGGAGTATGGGATATGATCTTAACTAACTTTTTTCTTTGAGGGAGGAATAACTCGAAGGAAAATGCTAGGCAGATCACATTTTATATAATACCTCTCAATTTTTTTCTGTTTCCTTTAGGCTTAAGTGAGTCAAGATGGAAAACTAAGTACGATTAAATACTAAATAATTGAAAGTTAGCCTTCAATTCCCTTAGAAATGAGAGGGAGAGCTTGACATACGGCCAATTTCAGACACAGAGATCATAATATATGAAGTAGATTAAAAACTAAATCTATGGAGCAACAGTTAGGGTGGGTGTGTGTGTTCATGAGAAAACGACGCTAAAAAAGGCGTCGGTGTTCAGGAGAAACGACGGCGTTCTATCTAGCATCTGTAGAAAATGCATTCGAATAGAATGTCGTTGATGGCAAACGCATTGCATGCAATTCAAGAGACGTGGGGAATTTGAAGTTAACATTTTTTATTATGAGAAAACATAAACCAGCAAGCAACAAGAAAGACAATAAAGTAAATATTACATCATAATTTGCAGAATAATTAAATCAAAGCCAGAGTTATGAACTTGCTTGACCTGAAAATGGGTCGGATTCATTTTAAATAAGTTTGGGTTAACTAACTTTGAATGTTGAGCCAAGCTCGGGTTAATTGGAGTCCACACAAACACGTAGGCCCAGCTCGTCCAAAATGTCGGACCGAGTTCACCCAACTCAAACCATCCAAATATTTAAACAACCCGATTCAAAATCAGTCCTCAGTCACTCTCCACTATTAGGTAGTTTTTTCTTCTTTGATACAAGCGATAATAGAAAGGGGGATTCAAACTTAGGACAATGGGTGGAAAAATAACTGTTCTTAACAACTTGAGCACCTATACGTAGTAGTCATAAAGAAATTAAGCACTTGGTTTGAAATACTGTACAGCACAAGTGGGACTCGATTTCACTGAATATACCGGTGAGTCCTTTTGGGGTTCCTGTTGTGTAGATTTTACAATGAAACACTTATAAGGGTTAATTACAACAAATGGGGGAATGGAGAACAATGGAGAAAACAAAAAAACTTGCATTCAAAAACCAAGCTAAGCTTGACAGAGAAAACCCTAATTCAAGGGACCAAAAAAGAAGATTGACATTAAATGATTCTTTCTCTACCTTCACCTTTCAAAAAACGCTCAGAAATCGGTTATTTACCGTTAAATAATAAATTCATTGAGAGCCCTATTGAGGAAGGCTTGAATGCCTGGATCAACTTCCGAGATGGAGCTATGCGGGGGTCGTCTCTATTGGTTTTCCTCCTCCTCGAAGGCCCCCCAATTGCTCCCATGCTTTTAGCAGATGTAGAAGATTTTGTGTTAAAGATCACTGATCCAAATGAAGCATCAGTTGTTGTGACAAATGATACTGGGCCTTTATGTGATGTATCTTGTGGGTATCCAACAGCTCCATCCTGATGTGGGGGTGGGAATTTCTCACTCTTGCTCTTGGCATTTGCTTGTGTCATCACTCTCCACCTCTGCAAATCAGCAAAGATTTGACTATAAGTTTGCTGAGAACAAGTGTCACTATGGAAACTTAATGAAGCCACAACTGCCACTGTTTACACACTGATTGTCCTTGTGGTGGTTACTCTTTAAAGTATAGCAATATCAAACAGAGGAGAAATTGTAGCTGATATGTGCATATAATGTTGCTCAACGTAAAATGATGTGATGATTTTGATACCGTCAGATCAACCACTTAGTAGTGAAAGAATTTTGACATGCCCAAAAAGATCATTACCATATTCAACTAATCAAGTGGGGTGCATGCTAAACAAACAAACAAACTTCAAACGTCAGGATCAACTTAGAAGTCAAAACCCAAACCTAAAGGCTAAAATCCAGATTCATGTTAGTATACTATAACGAAAATAAAAAAGAACTATCTGTGACACTGAGAATAAGATCTGGATGCAACTAAGAAATGGACTCTTTCGATTGAACTGGCAGATGGTGAGTGTAATATAAGTTCGATTTCAGAACTTTGAAAGAGCCCACATGATATTCCAGAAATAATAAGGTGGGATTTAGGTCTGGGTTCAGGGTTTTCTAATATGAAGGAGTGGGGTGGGTGAGAATGCATACAAATAAGATGTGTGTGTGTGTGTGTGAGAGAGAGAGAGAGAGAGAGAGAAGCTTCACGTACATCTAAGTTTCCTGGAATCTCTGCATTAGCTTCTGGAGCTGGAATCGCCCGACCGACTCGTTCACGAGCTTTAACTCTTCTGGGACCTTCAGCAGCATTAGGTTTCCCACTTAGACCTCTTTGCCTGAGGACAACAAATATCATCTGTCAATATATGCCAAAATGAGTCCAGAAAGCAGCAAACATGAAGAAAAGTAAATGAGTAACCTTCTAGCTTCTTCATCTCGTAACTTTACATCCATTTCTTTGGTGGGAGGATATTTTGGTAAACTTGATGGCTCACAAGCAAAAGGCTCCGTAGTGAAGAACTGTACCCAGATCAAATACCAATCAAACACAACAAAAGAATTTGGCACACCATCACGTCAATTTCTGGTAAAGAACACAGTTGCACTAAGCCCTTGCTAACTCCCAGAGAGTGATATACGTTTCTTTTGACAAGAAATACAACTTTTTAAGAAGACTTCTCAGCAGACGATACATGTCACAGAGGCCTGGAATTAATTAACCATCCTTGCGATTTATTTTGCTTTTCTTTACTTTTTCTTTTGGTGGGAGATCATGTTTTTCTTTTCAAAATATAAAACCCAGCTTCACAATATTGTTTCCTCAGAAAAATTAAAATCAAATAGAGAGCACTTACTTCGCTATTGAGAGCAGTGGTGGCAGTGCCTCGTCCATCAGAATCTACTGATAGAAGAGATTCGATCAAAGGTAGCGAAGAAGCTGGGAAATCCTTGAATGTTTCTGCTACACAACGCTTATATGGCTGCTGTGGCTTAAAAAGTGTTGCATTTGGCAATTTATATTTTTTCCAATATTCCTCAGATGGGGAGCCACATAACTTAAATATCTTGTGCAGTTGCTCAACCTAAACAGGAAAATAATTCAAAAGGTGTTTGTCAAACTGAAAATCATAGATTGAGCAGAAAATAACAGCAATAACATCACTCAAGAAGATTAAGAAACCGAACTTCAAAATGTATACAGAGACGAGAACAACCATCTCACAAGAATTGCTGTATTTTACTTGTAGACTCACAAGTAGAAGTGGACCAAATGAAGACACAATTGTTTCAAAAGAGTGCAGTCGTAGATGATTATTCAAGAATCGGGAACAATTGAATAACCGGAACAGAACTTTCAAGAACTGATAACCTAAAGAGAAGGGCAACTATAAAACAAAGCAATTATAAATACCTCTGTCCGTCCTGGCATAATAGGCTTCCCAGAAAGTAACTCTGCCAAAATGCAGCCAGCACTCCAAAGGTCAACACCAACTCCGTAGAAAGTGGCCCCGAGAAGAAGTTCAGGTGGGCGGTACCAGAGAGTGACAACTCGACTAGTCATGTGTTGCTTCTGCTCAGGATCAAAAAATGTAGCCAGTCCAAAATCAGCTATTTTTAAAATGCCTTCATTGTCAATTAACAGATTGGATCCCTTGATATCACGGTGCAAGACACCATGGTTGTGGCAATGCTCAAGCCCAGATAGCAGCTGTTTCATATAGCACTTGACCTGCCACAGGGAATATCTTGAGAAACAAATCAGCCTTTCAATGTCAAAATTCTATGTATGTGCAATGAAGAGCTGGACAAATCAGATTCAAATGGTGCAGGAAGTCACCTACAAGCCTACCAATAAAGATGCTAGCTTACGTTCTGTAAGATACAATTCTAAGCCCATTCATCAATATTTTCTAGTGCCCATTTAATCCCATATATTTTCTAAAATGGTTATCAATTGTTTTGTAATATAAGTGAAATAGTTAATCTTTTGTGAACAAAATTTTGACATAACTACCTCACAGGTGTTTGTTTAATCTATTTTCCTTTCCTTCAGAAAAAAGGAAATAAACGAAAAAAAGAGCTTGACTAAACCAAGTATTTGAGCAATGTTGATCTCATTCGAATTTCGAGTTAACGTAAGCTGCAGGTAATGGAATTTTAAATTCAACTTCTTTCTTCCCAAGTAATCAAAACAATAAAAAGCTAAAGAAATTCCTTTCTTTCCCTCAGCTTCGAAGCAATCCTACCTTTTTATCTACGTTTAATAGAGTGATGTGAGCAAACCGAAATTTTGCTGAATTTACCTACCCCATCATATGACTTGCCGTACGCATATAAATTAAAAATCTGGAAACTCAAACTACCAAGTATGGGACCCAATCCAGCCTAGAAAGGAAGGTCCCAGGTAACATCAAAAGCTAAAAACAAGCAAAACAAAAAAGACAACCAGGGCCACATGAATTCAAGAACCAGCGTGGCCAAACAAAGGCGAAGTAGACAACACATCCAAACGCATAAAAACAATCTCTGGAAAGCAGACAGCAAAATCTAGCTCAAATACCATTAACCAAGCAACAATTCATAGAAATCTGACAGTCTACCATTAAACAACAACCCAACCCAAATGAAAATTAGCAAGATAAAGCTTCAATCACTGATAGAAACTAAAACCAAAATGTACCTGAGGCTCAGTGAACTTGACCCCCGAGGAAGCGGCAAGGCCAGAGAGATCGTGCTCCATGTACTCGAAAACCAAGTAGAGGCTGCAAGACATTCTTGAAGTGACCAAGCCTTCAAGCTTAATAACATTGGGATGGTCAAGCTTTCTTAGCACATTGATCTCTCTGGCCATGAATTTCACACTCTCTGGCTCCAAATTATCAAACCTAACCTTCTTTAAAGCCACAATTTTCCCAGTAACCAAGTCTCTTGCTTTATATACATTGCTATAAGTCCCTTGCCCAATCTGAACAAAAAATATATATTTTCAAAAAACGAAAAGGAATTAGTTCAACCCGAAGAGTTAAAGTCATGATTTTGAGCACCTTAGCGAGCTTCTCGAAAGTGTTGGCGCGACGAGGGGTCCAACCCTGGATCGCGTCGCCGGCGACGGCCAAGAGCCACGAAGGCCAACCCTGCTGGTTCGCCGGGAAAGGTTTCCGGCGCTCGATCGCCGGAAAGTCGCCGGTGTGATTCTCCCTCTGCCTCGCTACCGCCCCCTTCCTATCATCCCTGACAGCCTCCACTCCGGAGGGCGCCTCGATATTCCGGCGACGGTGCCCAGCTCGGACGGATCTTCGGCGATCTCCGGCGGCCTCCGTGCCCAAAACGCAACCCATCGTCTCAGCTCGCGAAGCTCCGGCGACGCATTTGGGAGTACGTAAACTACTCAGGCGATGGCAGTCCGGCGTCGTTTAACCGCTGGCGGTTAGTTCAAGGCCGTCTGTTGTATTGGATTGTATATGTCGCTTAGATAAACTAGTCTCGCTTGGCGCCGACGTCGTATCTGGAAATGAAATTGAAACCGCGGCGGGAGGTGGCGGTTTTACAGGTGAGTGGTGTACGGACAAACAAAGAGAAGTAGAGAGCGAGAGAGAGCCAAAGTTGGCGTCTTTTGATTCAGTTGGGAATCAATTACTGATGAGCTTCAGTGTCATCGCAGTGAGAGAGAGAGTCTTACTTGTCCGATGGTGTAGAAATTGCGTCATGGTTTTTGGAGTTAATTACGGAAATGCCACGGTGTTGGGGATCTAATTGGCTGCAGATTGACGATTTTTACCGCGGGCGGGAGAGAGAAAGAGAGAGAGGCTGAGAGGGAAAAGAGAAACAGAAAGAGAAGATGCTGATTGCTGACATGAATGTAAAAATTTGGAGTTGGGATTGGGACCCCGAAAGTCAAACCAAGAGAAGAAAGCTACTTTTTGACACGGCTCCAGGGTCAGGGTCAAGTTTCCTTTTTTTTTTTTGTAACAAAAAATTATACCATCTAACATTTTGACTCCTTGCGTACAATAAGAATCATATAGTTTTTAGTCTTCTAGGATTCCCATTAAAATATCTGTGAAATCATAGTTTTTAGAAAAGTAGATGCATGATTTGATTAGACTATTATGATTAAAATTTAATAATTAACATTTTTATCTTTTGGCCCCTAAATTGTAGCGTGGATAAGGGAAAGTACGTACGTCCTCCGTCGGATTTTTTATTGGTACCATTTTCATTAACTTTTCTTGTGACGATCATGAATAAAAAGACAAAATTAAGAAAATATTTAACCATTTGATTACAATTATTATCATTCCATTTTTATCGAACCATATTGTGTATGATAATTTGTGATTTGGTTAACTTTTTAATTAAAGAGTGTCAGATACGATCAATGTCTCCAATTATTAAAGTGCATTGCAAGGTGGTCGAGAAAAGATGTTATCACTTTTCTTAATAGACATCCTCATTGTAGGGTATAGATCAACTTATTCCACTAGATTATAAGTAGAAAAGTATAGCTTCGTTACGTGCGAGTCCCAAATTAGAACTTGTTCAAATCCCCACTACTCCACTAGCATTTGATTTTAAAATAACCACTTTAGACGCTAACTACAAATTAATCCCACTCCAACCTATTGCATCTTGAACCAAATCTACAAGATTTGTTCTTTCGGTTTTGGAGGGCTGAATTATTTGGTCTAGGGTGAAAGGGATGAGTAGCAAATGAGATTAAACTCAATTCTAACTACCCCACCGAACCTATTAAAAAAGGGTATGGTAGGTTAGATTCTTACATTTATTACAGAAAACATAGAGAGGGAGCAAAACTTGCAGTTGAATTCAAGTACAAGGCAATGGTGGTGGCAGGCAACAAAGTTTGTTACTTTGTGTTGATTGTGGAGAAAGAAATTTCAACACAAGAATTTTATTAATTTTCTCACCAACTTTGTGATGACCTAATCATGATTAAGCAACACATCAAATGAGTCTTATTATTTAATTAAATAAATAAGTGTAATAGTCAAAGAAATTGAAGGTCAAGTTTATTGTGCCGTGCTTAAATGGAGAATTGACCTGTCATTGACAAAAAGATTCAAAATTTTAGAACATAATAAAATGGCCAACAAGGGACAAAAGTTCTACGCCAAAGGTCTTTCTAGAAACATCAAACATTGCATTCATTGCTCATTTAATTTAATTTTTCTTGCTGCATTTTTTAGTTAGGTAGAATGGCAAATTAATACAAATATATATGTTGGATGGTAAAGTGACCTCATTTCAACTTCATGCATCGGTTGAAGTAATGAGTATGCTCAACAAACCTTGGTTCTTTTAATTTTTAATTTAATTTTTCACACACACTGTCAATCATGGAGTTTGAACATGAGACCACTGATATGCAAGTTAAGGTCATTTTTCATTGAGCTAGACCCGTTAGCTTATTAACATATATCTTAAGTGAGACATATCATGAAATCTCATATTTAAAATATTATCAAGCAACTTACCCCCTATTTTATATTTATCTTATATTTTATTGAAATATAGATCTAAAGATAGGGTTTAGGGTATCATTATTGACTTAAAAATTATCTCAAGAACAACACAACAACAAATTATGTAGACAGAAATAGTAGCATATTCAAAAACTCTCTCTCTTCTTCTTCATGCAACTTCTTCCTCCTTCAACCCAAAAACCTTCCTAAAACTACTGCAAACTCTTTTGAATCCAGGGGGTTTTCCCTGAATTCATTTATTTTCGGCTAATAAACCAGGCTTCCCTTCCCCCTAGGTGCCCGTGTAATGTTGTGGAGAGCTTTTCCCCTAGTTTTTTGTTAGGGTTTTGCTCCCTTGCCTTTTGGCAAGCTTTTGTCTTCCCTCCTAGGCTTTTAGGGGATGTTTCTCAACCTTTTGGGCTGATTTTGCTTGATCTTGGTAGATCTCCATATTTGCTCTCTTATTGTCTGTGCTATTGAAATTTAAGGATTTGGTGGAGCTTTTCTAAGATCTTTTCCATAGAGGTGGAGTTGATGAATCTGGTGGGATCTACACCTTGGTGTTGTGGGATCATGTCATCTTCAACTCTGAGTGAGCTGGGGTTTAATTACATATGGAGTTTGCTCATTGTTCCTGCACTGGTTGTTTTTATTATTCTATGTCTACTTTCTTGTCTACAAGAACCCTCCTCTGGGGGCAGTGTTCTTCCTATGTATTCTTGTATCTGCCTTCATATCGATGAATCTACTCTATTTGCAACAACAACAAAAAAAAAAACAATAACAACAACAACAACAAATTTTGTAAGGCTCCACTTGTTATAAGTAAAGGTTCAAGTATCACAATTAAAAATGACCACGTTCTAAAATTCATAATTCTAAATAATTTTCAATGTCAAGAGAAGAAAAAAAAAATCAAATATTTTCATTTCAACACATAAAAAAAAAAAAAAATCCCCATTTCAAATTGGACACCTTAAAGTCAAAATCATAACAATATTTTCTTACAATAAGATCGTTCGTATACGGGGTATGTCTTTACTCTTTATAGTAAGGCACAAAAATATCTTCATTGGGCTAGTGCGGTGACATTTTTAAAACCTTAACAAGGGGTCTTCTCTTATAATAAAAAAAACCCAATTGTTTGGATTTTACATTCTGTTATTCGTAAATTGGCCATTTTCTTTTATTTCTTTTAATTAAGATATTGTTTAGAATCAATTAGGATGAGAAATTCGAATTTAGGATATCTTTCAACATTGACAAGAGAACGAAAGAGAAGTACTATAATCTTAAGAACATAACAAAAACATAAGTACCATAATCTTAAGAACATAACAAAAACATAAGTACCATAATCTTAAGAACATAACAAAAACATATGTGTATACACCACAAATAATCGATAATTCCAAACATTAATCCAATTGGCACCATAATCTTAAGATAGATATTGATAGGTTTATGGATGATTTATTCTTCATATAACGATAATAAATAAATTAAAAAGAAAAGAGAGAAGATTTGAGTAGAAGCATATAATTATATATGTATATATAATGTTGCAGAATCCACAGGTCCTAGCCACAAAGAAGCAGGACAACCAAAACCACTCGAAGTTAAAGAAGCCCAAAATTATTGAACAAACGTGTCCACTGTCCATTGGTTTTGCATATGGGGTTCTGTGGATAAAAGAGATCATATCACCCACTGAAGCTGTCAAGTGATCAAACGCCAGCCAGCATTCTTGTTTATTTGTTGTTTTGTTTCTTGAAGTTTTGGAAAAACAGAAACTTGGGAAGTAGTGAGCAAAAAATGGGAACCTTGTTCTGCTGCACGGATTCAGATGAGCTTTTGCTGGGGCTGCTGCTGGCTTTGGTGCTTGCTATGGCCTTCTTTATCGTGTGCCAGCCTCCTCCTTCGAGGAGAGTGGCTGTTTACCATTGCTCTTGATTAGTTTTCCAAATTGTGCTTTCATTTTGCAAATTGATTCTGCTTTGTGCTTGCTCTTGTATTGTTTTGTCGTTATACCTACTACGTGTACGTGTATGTGTATGCGTATGCACTCGTATTTGGGATGAGAAGTTTGTAATGGCATCAATCTCTACTGTATAAAATGAACTGCAAGATCAGTCTCAGTCTCTTCTGTTTGTGATTGCATTTAGGCATTCAACAATACCAGAATGTAGTTGCCCCACATTGAGGCTTCTCTTTCTTTTTGGGGTTTTGTAACAGCCGTTTCCCCTAGCGTGATAGTTCAGGGAGGAAAACGGCACTGTACCCTTTATTATTATTATTGTATTTAGTTTAATATGAAGGAACAATGAACAGTTGATAAACTTGGGACCTAACAGAAGCACATTTCCTTGCCGGAACACAAAAACATATTAGCTGTGCCATTTGCCGTGAGGTGGATTTGGTGGAAGCACTGGGGTGCAGAAAATAAAATTTACCCAAGTTCAACATTTTAGCACTACTGGTCAATAAGGACAGTAACAACATCTGCAAAATATTAAGGAAGAAAAAACCTGAACTAAACAAAGAAAACCTCATATCCAATTAATCCTTAATGTAAGTATAATTCCTAGCCTCTTGGAATGGGTGGCATATATATACTTATAAAATAGTAAATCTACTGGTAGCTGCCGCCATATGTGTGCTAACCAGAGGAAAGCTCTTCATTTTTTGCTAACCGGAGCAAAGCTTTTCAAGGGCCAAGTTCTCATCCCCACCAACAGCTTCCAAAGTAGTCCTTGCCTGAGCTTCAGGGAACCCCATCTCTACAAGTTTTTGTACCTGTACACAAAAACTCAATATATTACCAGATCTCCAATTTTGCAGATTTATCAATAAGTAAATAAACTAAAAATCTGCCAGACTGCTCAATTTGCTTTCAAAAGAGTTAACTCTTTTTATGGTGATTTAAGTTTCAAAATGTATCTACTCTTTCCATAGACATTAAAGTCAAGCATATCAAAGAGAAGGTAGGATCAAACTGACCTTTTCCTCAATCCCAAGAGATGATTTCTTGGCAAAAGATTCAGTCCAGTATCGAGCTGTGCCAACAAAGGTCTGATAATCTTTAAGATACTGCAATATAGACATGAATGAACTAACTTAGAATGAGAGAAAAATTTGATAAATAAATACATAAAGGCACCACCATCAAGGCAAGACTAGCAGCAATCAGTTGTAAGTCTGATACTCTCCAAATACAGCACATTCACAAAACATAATTTAACATCAATTAAAAGACAAATTTTGCAATAGCAGAATAACTGGATAAATGACAAAAGCAAGTTTAGACCTGTTGTGCCACCACAGCATCTTGAGGATCATCTGGTTGAGGAGCAGAAAGTAATGCTTGTACAGAAAGAAGTGCTGTTTTCAAT